GTTTAGGGTTTAGAGTCTATAGAGTTTAAGGCTTAGCGTCTATAGGGTCAAAAGTCTAGAGGGTGTAGGGGTCTAGGGCCCTTTGGGATTCAGGGTCCAGGGTTTATGGAATGAGTTTGGGGTGTACCAGAACTCTCGAAAGTATCTTAAACCTTCAAGTTTGCAGGGTGCAGAGCTTGTATTGATGCTTCTGGTCTCCTTAGTTTGGAGGAGGTGAGCGTCTAAAGGGTGGCTAGGGTTCAAGTCTAGGGCCTTGGACTAAAGCCCTAAGCCCTAAAACCCTAAACCCTGAAGATGTGTTGGTACATATCGGACTGGAACTCTCGCCATAGGCTTCAAAGTACATCACTTCGGCTGTTTTTGTTGCTTTGGGCTGTTCGGGGTTCGAGACCCTTAACCATAAGCCTTAAACCCTATAAACTCTAAACACTAAACGATAAACCCTAAACCCTGAACCCTAAACCATCAACCCTAAACCCTCAAAACCCCTGAACCCTGAACCCCAAACCGTGAACCCTGAAAGCCAAACCCTGAACCCTGAAAGCTAAACCCTAAACCCTGAACCCTAGGCTCAGGGGCACATAGAAATATTTTTTAATCTTTGGTTATTATAAACCCTAAGAAAAGCCCAAATTATGATTTTTGCTAGTGGTCTAAGTTCAGTATAGTAGGCCCTGTGCCCTACCTTTCAGCTTCATCCTCTGAGCCTTCAGCCCCCGGAAGCACACCGAGGTGAGGAAAGAAATTGATGCTTGGCGGCAGTTAAGATTCTGGCCTTAATACATAGAATAGGGTTCTTTTTAAAGGGTTTCTATAAGGGTTCTACGAGATAGCGGCCTTAATAATTAGAACAGGGTTCTTTTTATAGGGTTACTATAAGGGTTCTACGAGACAGGGGCCTTAATAAATAGAATAGGGTTCCTAGAGAGCGTTACGATGAGGGTTCTAAGCTATAGGGACCTTATGAATTGGAATAGGTTTCCTGTAATAAGGGTTTTTTAAAGGTTTACTATAAGGGTTCTACGATATAGGGGCCGTAATAATTGGAATAGGGTTCCTTTACACGGTTCCTTCAGAATCTTAGAAGGGCTGCGATGAGGGTTTTAAGATATAGTGGCCTTAATTAGAATGAGGTTCCTTTAAAGGCTTATTTTTGAAGGGTTCCTTTTAAAGGTTCCTTTTATAGGGGCTTTAGTGATTAGAACAGCGTTCCTTTGAAGGATTCCTTTAAAGGGTTCCTAGCATGGGTTACTATAAGGGTTTTAAGATATAGGGGCCTTAATCATTAGACTAGGGTTTTGGGGTCTATTATACTATACTTATAATAAGGAACCCCCCAAAAACCTATTCTAATTATTCCGGCCCCTTTTGTTAGAGCTTGAAAGCTTAATACAGGAGCTTTAGACTCTTAGACCTTCTACACCCTACAGCCTGTTCGGGTTTAGGGTTTAGGATTTAGGGTTTAGGGTTTAGGGTTTAGGGTAGGGTGTAAGGCTTTGAGTCAAGAGGTTTCAAGGTGGCTTGTGTCCTAGGTAGTACTAGGGAGGGGACCCTTCTCAGCCCTACTTATAGCTCTCTCCCAAGGGACCTCACTAGCAGGGTCTATATCCCCAAGGGTCCCCTAATCCTAACTCCTACCCTAAACCCGAAACCCTTAACCCTAAACCGCCTAAGCCCTAAACTTCCCCCAAACCCTGAACCCTACACCCTAAACCCCAAACCCAAAGCCAAAGCCCCTAAGCCCTAAGTCCTAAAGTCCCGTTGTGGAAATCTGTGAAGTCTCCGGGGCTCAGCGGTACGACGTCGGCATCGGGGGGGCTCCAAGTTTGCTATCGGTACCCTCTTTGGGCCTTATAGTTATAGAGTCCTCTGAAACCTAAACCCTAAACCCTAACCCTAAAATGGTGCCTATTTTGGGTGATTCGGAGCCTCCGGGCTTTGTGATTGAGGGCTGAGAACCTTAACTCTAAACTTGACACCTGAAACATTAGCTCCTACAGCTATAAAGCTTAACCAAAACCCTGCATGCCATTTCCGAGAGCAAGCCCTAAACCCGAGCACCCCAAAGCCCTAAACTCGAAAGGCCTAAAATCCCGAAACCCTCTAAGACTCTAACTAACCCTAAAGTCCAAGAGCCTACACTCCAAACCCCCAAAGCCCTAAATTCTAAACTCCGGACCTCTAAAGCCCTACCGAGTAATTAAGTAGATGGGGAACCAGTTACCTTAGGACACGACACAAGTACCCCCGAAGCCCTAAACACTACACCCTAACACCTGAACCCCTACACCCTAAACCTCTAGCCTAGACGAAGCCCTAAACCCTAAACCCTAAGCTAAACCCTTTTGAGTAAGAGACGAAGCCCCCGAAAGTTGCTCGAACCGAGACGAGCAGCCAAAGCAGCTGCCCCACTTTACGAAAGTCGGCTTTCAGGCTGATTTTAAGGGTTCAGGGTTTAGGGTTCCTTTAGGGTGTAGGGTTTAGGGTTTAGTGTTTAGGGGTTTAGGGTTCCTTGAGGGGTTCGTTTAATTTTAGGTGCCACAATAATTACCCATACTAGTCTGGGGTTCCTGCGTATAATGGAACCCAAAATACCCTATTCTATCGGCCCCTACATTAACGGTTCCTCTAGACTAGAGGGTTCCCATTAGGGTTTAGGGGTGAGGGTTGAGGTTTCCTTTAGAGGTTCTACAAAGGATCTATACTACGAGGGTTCTCTACTGGCTCTACACGGGTTCTATCGGGGTGTAGGGTTTAGGGTTTGAAGGGTTGACGAAGCGTGGTTGTCGTCGTGTGTTGCTGATGACCGTTGTTTTCCTTACGAGGGCTTCTTGGTTTCAATCCTTTTTTTCAGGTTTCATAGGATCTTAACACAATCTTATATATATATATATATATATTTTTATTCACACATACAAGTGTGTGTACATATATATATATATGTGTGCATATGTATAATGTTTCGTCTCAAAGAGGGTGGGTTCTAAGGACGAGGGGATACTGGCTGCAGCTTATTGCTGTTAAGGGCTTAGCCACGCCTCAATCCCGAGAATTAGGACAGGGTTCCTGGTGCAGATTCGAGCGTAAGATAGGGTTTTGGGGCCCTAAACCCTAAACCCTAAACCAAAACCCAAAACCCTAAACCCTAAACCAATAATGAACCCAAGAGACCAGGAGGAGATTCCAAGAAACCAAGAGGGAGACCAGCAGGACACTGCAAAGTTGCTTCTCCCCAAGTTGTAATGGAGGTTTAGGGTCTAGGGTTCAGGGTTTATGGTTTAGGGTGTAGGGNNGGTTTAGGGTTTAGGGGTTGTAATGGGTTTGATGTTCAGCTTGTGGGTTCGACTGACTCTGACGGTTGAGAGCCTTCAAAAGCCGTAAACCTATGGTCCCGTATGTAACCGTACACCTATATACGGTTCAGTTTAAAGCAAACCCTATAAACCCCAAGCCCTA